TGCCAATCAACCGATTTAAATAAGGTTGATTGGATATAAAAATTACATGTGATGATATATTTTTTCTGATAATCATTATTTTTTTTGTATGAAAATGAATATTGTTTTTTTAATAAAAGATTTGGAAAACTATTTTTGTATAATAAAAAATTGCCAGGTTATTTAGATTGTGAATTTTCAGTAAGTATATCTTTTATTTGTGGATCTTGGCCAATTTAGTTATTTTTTTTCCTTTATATTGTTCACGGTTTCTACTTTTCTGATTTTGTTTTCTGGTTTTGTTTTAGTACGGTTTCAACAATTTTGATATTGTTTTAGTGGTGCTCGTGACGCAGATCGGAAGATTTGGAGTGATTCGGTTTTAAAGGTAAAACAAAATTTTTATTGATATACATTTTATCTGATAAATTTTTGGCAACGCAATAGTACTAACACTAAATACGGATTTAATTGGGATTTTTTTTTTGGTAATAATTTCCATATATTCTTTATATAAACATTTTTATTTAATTTAAAGTAAATGGGCGGTAATTTTAATTAAAAATTTATGAGCAAATGGTTTATTTTTTTAGGCATAGTGGGGAGCATAGTTTTGGGAATAAGGTTCTCTTTTATAAGGATTTGGGTTATAAAGTTATGTATAAAAACTTTAATGAATTGGATTTAGGTAAACAGTTGATTACTGAGGGAATATTGGTAATGATGTATTTATTGAAATTTTTGGTGAAAAGGGGTACTGCGGTACTGGCAGAAATGTATGGTAATTTTAAAAGGGACACTGCGGTGTTGGCTAATTTTGTTGAAAAGGCAGACTTGGAAAGTAGTCTAAAAGATGTTTTAGATGAAATCAAGGCTGGGAATGATTTGGAGAGGTTCGGTGAGATTTTCCGGGAAGTGAAGGAAATAAGGAAGTCATCAATGCGTTGATGAGGTTGAGCAGAAATTCTGGGAAGTGCCTTAAATGTGAACAAAGTAGTAATAATGGTAAAAATAGTTACAAGGAGAATAATGGGGTGTCATTAAATAAAAAATTTGAGGAAATTATAATTGGCCAACGTTGCGGATGGAGAGGACATAAAAGGGATACCTGTGTGGTCCCAGAGCATAGGTTTAAAGATGGATTTCCGTTAAAGAAATCTGAAATAGGAAGTGCTAATGTAAAAATGGTTAGTTTAAACGGGGCCAGATTATGTTTTAAATGTAAAAGGCCGGGACAGGTGGCTGTGGACTGCATGGAAGTATCTCAAAATTCGTGTTGACTATATGATTGCAAGGTAAATCTTATAGGAATCGGGGCCCCGAGAGGTCGGAAAAATTTGTATAATAAAACATTTAATATTGTTAATCGAGATAATGGGAATGATAAAATAAAAATAAGAAGTCATTCTCGTAATTTCCCTGAGAGGGGGGTTAGTCGATTTAAGTGGGAACAATATCCGAGGAATATTGTCCGTGATTCTCTTAGAAATGATGTTAGGAATTTTATTTGGGAAAGATGTCCCACAAATCTTGTTAAAAGAAATGTAATTGTCAGTAATAAGAATTTAAATTCCGAGTTGAATTTAAGGGGCAATGTGAATGCCAATGAAATTATTATTTTAGATAAAATAAACGCTGATTCTCCGATTAAAACATATGATATTTTAATGACGGAAAGATTAGATGGACCATGTATGTGTCCGAGGGTTAGTTTGAAAATTGACCATAGGAATATAGAGATGCTATTTGACACCGGGGCTAGTATCTCTCTAATGTCGCAGGAGAGTTTTTATAACTATTGGCCTGGGGGTAAACTTGAAAAGGAGGCGATGTGCGTTAGGCAATTTGATGGGTCTGAAGTTGCCGTTGTGGGCAGAGCCAAATTGGGAGTTAATCTTAATGATGTAATGTTCTTCCTGGATTTATGGGTGGTGAAGGAAAACGTGGAGACCATTATGGGTTGGGATTGGATTACGCAGCTGGGTCCTCGGAATAATTATTGGAATGTTCTTAACATAAAAAGTAATGTAATAGGTGATGTTGAACGAGAAGAAATTTCAGAAAATTCTGATAACAAAATTGGTGAAATTGCGGAAGAAGTAATGGATAGATCAAGTGAATCAAGGATTAATGTGAATAATAATGAGGATCAAATTATGGCCGGGGAAATAAATGAATGGGATACCGTGAACACTGCTATTCCCATTTTAGTTAGACAATATGGTATAATTTTTGTGGAAAAATTGGGATGCTTAAATGATTATCAGGTGGATGTTCAACTTAGAGAGGGTTTTTCGCCGATTTTTTTGGCTTGTAGGAGGGTTCCTTTTGAATGGAGGAGAGAGATTGATGAGAAATTGGATAGATGGGTAGAAGATGGTATCATCATTCCGGTGGAATATAGTGATTGGACTCTCCTTTGGTTCCGGTTAAAAAATCAAATGGTAAATTGAGGCTCTGCGCTGATTTCAGAGTAACAGTAAATCGATGGGTAGTGGAGGTAAAATATCCGTTGCCTCGGATTGAAGAGATTTTGGCTCAGTTAAAGGGGGCTAAATATTTTTCAAAGGTTGATTTTTCTTCAGCGTATTTACAGTTACCATTGATAGAAAAAATTCGTAAATTATTGACGATAACGACGCCAAAGGGGTTATTTGCTTTTTGTAGATTACCGTTTGGATTGAGTGTATCGGCGCTGATTTTTCAACGGACCATGGCGTCAGTTTTTCAAGGATTGGAAGGAGTATTTTATTATATGGATGATGTGTTAATTACCGGCGTGACGCCGGAGCAGCATAATCAACGTTTGGAAGAAGTGTTTATGAGAATTCGTGACAAGGGCTTGAGAGCCAGTAAGGAGAAAAGTGTTCTGGGGGTAATGGAGGTTGAATATTTGGGTCATCGAATTAATGGAATTGAGGTGAAACCCTTGGATAAAAATTTGTGAAATATATCGAACATGAAACGGCCCAACAATAAGGCTGAGTTGCAATCTTTTTTGGGTATGGTCAATTATTACCACAGGTTCGTGGAGGATTTTGCAAAGGTCGCAGCGCCGTTATATGATTTATTAAAAAAAGGAATTCATTTTGAATGGAAAGATGCGCAGCAAATTGCTTTTGAAATTTTAAAGGAAAAAATTGGAAAGGAGCCTGTTTTGGTGTGTTTTGATAATGAATTGGAAATTGTTTTGGCGGTGGATGCTTCAAATAAAGGAGTTGGAGGGGCGTTATTACAGGTAATAGAGGGCTTGGAGAGACCCGTGTTGTTTTTTTCGCGTGTTTTTCGTGAGGTAGAGACTAGGTATTCTGTGATTGAACAGGAGGCCCTGGCAGTGATTTTCGGTTTGACAAAATGCCGTGAGTATTTGATTGGTAAAAGATTTGTAATATTTACTGATCACAAACCGTTAATTCACTTATTCCGGAAGAACAATCGGGAGTTAATGATGTCTCCCCGGTTACAACGTTGGTTGTTGTTGGTGGGCAGCTTTAACATGGAGATCCGATATCGTCGTGGTAAAGAGAATTGTTTGCCTGATATTTTGTCCCGATTAGGATTGAATGAAAGAAATGATGAAGAGAATAAGGATAAGGTTCAGGACAACGAGAAAGCATTAGTGTGTTCGCTTTCGCATATGCTCCGAGGAGGTCCTACCAACTGGGAAGAACTTAAAGTTAGTACTTTAAAAGATAAAGAGCTGAGTCAAATAAAATTATATTTAACGGGGGAAAAACCGTGGGAAAATAATGGTAAAAATTTTAAAAAAATTGAAAGGGAATTGTCAATTGTTGATGATTGTGTAATGAGGGCAAATAGAGCGGCAATTCCTTATAAATTACGTGGCAAAATTTTGAATTTATTACATGCGGGGCATCAGGGTCGGGAAAGGATGAAATCTTGGGCGAGGGAGTATGTTTGGTGGCCAGGTATGGGCAATGATATCGAAAAAATTACAAGGAGATGCGTTCCTTGTAATACTTGTGCAGCTATGCCCCGTAAGGAGGTAGGTCAGGTTTGGCCCCGGGCAAAGAAACCTTGGGAGCGTCTTCACATAGATTTCTTTGATCTGGATAAAAGGGCGTATTTTTAATTGGTTGATTCGTATTCAAAATGGGTGGAATACACCGAGGTTAATGGGTATACCACCAGAATAGTGATTAGGAAATAAAAAATGAATGAAAAAAGTCTTATTTTGAGTCATTATTTTTATGTTCCCTTAACCCGAACCCGGGTCTTTTTTAAATTTATTACTGGACCCGAATCCTTTTTTTTGTCGAAGGGTTCACATCCCTGATTCTTACCATGGAATTTTTCATCGATAAAAAAATGTTTTTTATTTTAAGATTATTTTGGTGAAGACAGGGACTCGGAATAAAATTACTAAAAGGAGCTTGGTACAGCCCTAATTAAAACCAAATTTTGAAATATATAATCATTAAAAAAATTGTATCTCTTTTTTAATTTTAGTATTTAAAGAAAAAAACATTTTTCAACATATAATATTTTTGCTTTTTTAAAGAATCTACTGATGATACCCCGATTTTATCGCATCGAATCGATTATTAATCTTTTCTTAAATGATTATGGACCGATATTATTAAATTTTTCGACCCGATAAAAATGGTATAGTTTAAAACTTTTTCACCATTCATATTAGATAATATTTATATTATAAATAAAATAAGATAAAATTAAGAACAATAATTGAGTGATATATCAAAATTTTAAAAAATAACTAAGTAAGAAAAGATGTTAAATAAAATACATAATTCATAAGGATATTTATGCTAAATAAGAAATTAAAAAAAAAATTCAACAATTTATAGTGATCATGAATAGGTCGATGGATTCCACTTTCTACAAGACAGAAATACTTTTGGGACAAAAATATTACAATATTATATTGTACTATTATTATATAAATATATAATTTATCAATAAAAATATTTCATATACTTTTATATTCATTATAACCGAATAAATAAGCTTATAATGATAGGTTAATTAAAATTTGACAGTAGTAAGTTTTTAAATGGCTTATGTGATTGTATAATCATAAATTTTATACAATATAATAAAAAAGAAGATATATTGAAGAACACAATAAGATTAGTGATATAGGATAGGTTTAATATCAGTAATCTGCAATAGGCGAGTTTTTAGCCTGCCACTCGCCCATATTTCGGGCGGGCATGGTTAGGTTTTCAAAATATTTTCAACATTGGGCTGGTGGCGGGAGGGTTAAAAAAATTTAAGTAGTGGGCGGGTGGATTTTTAATATTTTTCAGGCGAAATGAGCAGAACAGACTTCAATTTATAATAGTTTTTAATATTGCTTATAAATACCTTTAAATAAATAAAGAGCCAAACCAGCCATAAATCATTTTTAAACATTAGATCGGGTTAAACAAAATTTATAAAAGGGCGGGTGGGTAAACTTTAAAAAAATTATAAGCAAGCGGGTGGGCGGGTTAAAAAAATCAAAACAACTAGTGGACGGGCTTTTTAACTAAAACCTCCCATTGCAGGCCTCTATTCCATATATCTCTAGCATTTGGCAGCTATAGACTTATCATTTCCACATGGTCACGTCAAGAGATCCAGAATAGTAGAACCCATAGCAAAAAGTCTAGTAACAAAGCAAATTGGAATAAAAAAAATGAACCAATAATTTTAAATTTACTGCAAACTGATAAATAAAATTATTTCATAGTAAATATTAAATTTAAAACTATTTTATTTTTAGATGAACCACTTTGGAAATAAAATAAAAACGATGGAAATCGTAAAGTCAGAAAATAGTAATTTATTCAAAAATCCTTCTTTAGAATCTGCAAACTTTTTAATACAACTCTCTGATCATGATTTTAATATCGAGTTACAAGCTATCAATGAAAATGAAAGATCTGCTTTTGAGCGCTTGATGACTTGCCTAAAAATGGAAAAAACTATTTTAAATGAGAAGGGACAAGATGAAAATAGTAATAATTGTGACGTTAAATCAGCAGTCAAAGAAATATGTTCTAAATTAATTAAAGTTCCTTTAAAACCTCATCAAATAACAGCCCTAATTTGGATGCTCAATCGAGAAAAAGTTTGTCTAAATCCAAAGACTGAATCTGGGACAGGGGGAATTTTAGCTGATGATATGGGGTTGGGTAAGACATTGACCACTATAGCATTAATTCTTGTCTCGCATTATATAGCAATCAACAATATTGATATTTTAAATTATAATGCGCGTAACAATTTATATGAAGACCCTTCAGGATTTCTAGAATCCAAATGCCAAGGTAAAAATAGGTCTGATCCGACGTTAGTAGTTTGTCCAGCCTCCTTAATACACCAATGGGATGAAGAGATCAAAAAATATTGTGTAAATCAATTAAAGGTTTTAATATATCACGGCAATAATAGAACTCAAAGGGTCCATCATATTGTTAACCACGACATAATTATTACAACTTTTAGTTTGGCAGGGAGAGAAACATCATCTCCATCTGTATTATCCTCAATTTCCTGGCAAAGATTGATATTAGACGAAGCCCATGTTATTAAAAATCCTAAATCTCAAACAACTCAAAGTCTTTATATTATAAACTCCCGTTTCCGATGGGCATTAACAGGTACACCTATCCATAACAAACTCACCGATATTTACTCCTTAATTAGATTTTTACGTGTAATACCGTTTGATAAATTTAGCACTTGGAAACACTTATTTGGAGAAAATACTGATAATAAATCCAATCGCAACAATTATTTGAGCAATATTACCTCTAAAAATATCGAACGACAAAAATCTCGGTTACATTTGTTATTGAAAGTCATATGCTTGAGGAGAATAAAAAATCAAAAAAATGAATTAGGCGAAGAAATAATCCATTTGCCAACAAAATCCTATGAGATATACAAACTCGAATTGTCGCCAATAGAAAGTAAAATTTATGCCAAGATTTTGCTTCTCTCCCGACGTATTTATGAACAAATGATACGTGACAATTTAAACAAGGCTCAACCTTTATCTACTCGTCGAAGAAATCAAACAAATGTTTTAGTGCATTTACTTAGAATGAGACAATGTTGTTGTCATCCTTCTTTACTCAAAAACACTTTGCAAGAGGCTGATTTAGAGACCGAAGGATTATCACCCATTTCAAAATCAGAAAAGAGTGACGTTGACTCAAACTCCCTTTTTACCATAGACAATTTAGAGAAGGCACTGGGAACCTTGTCATTTTGCGATAAAGCTGCTAACAATTATATAACTCCAAATATAATTAAATTGGAAGATAATTTTGATTGCGCGCTTGATCCATCATTTATAAGTACAAAAATCGGTGCTATATTAAATTTAACTCACTCATTAATTAAAAAGACCATGTCTATTAAGAACAAGTGCGTAATAGTTTCTCAGTGGACGTCGTTTTTAAATCTCCTAGCAAATAATTTTAAATCCAATGGCGAGAAAATTTCTTATCACATACTGACAGGTAATAGCACCCCTTTAGAGAGAATACGAATGGTCCGCGACTTTAATGAAAATCCATACGGCTCGCCTATTCTACTTCTATCGCTAAAGGCCGGGGGAGTTGGTCTAAATTTAATCGGCGGTAATCATGTTATATTTACCGATCCCCATTGGAACCCAGCCCTAGAAAATCAAGCTTGTGATCGAATTCACAGAATGGGACAGTGCCGCCCCGTATTTGCTCATAGATTTGTGTGCCGCAACACTGTCGAAGAACGAATCATTGATTTACAGAACGATAAATTAAGGTTGGCCAAAAGTACTCTCGATACTCCTCAAGGTAATCATAGAGATACACTCGAAATAAATATTGGTGAAAATAGAGGGTCCAAACTAGGAATGGATGATATTAAAAAGTTGTTATGTTGAAATTATTTTTATTACCAGCCAGCTTATTTGTGATGTTCCAAACACTATGCCTACTATTTTTTATATTGGTCTTCATTTAAATCAAAATATATAAATTTATACAAAATTAAAAAATATTTATTCTACAACTAGGGTAATAAAAATAAATGATTATAACTATTTATAAATATCGTCATAACAAGTTTTATACTGTGATTTAGAATTTAATAAAGTATATGAAATCAATTGATATCACAAATCAGACATTACTTACATCTTTAAAAAAATTTGTACAATAATATATGCATTGTTGATAGACATCTTCAAAGCTTTCTTGATCTTTATCCTATTTATATAGTTTTTTTAAAAAAATGTAATTATTATGCTTAAATACATTTAATAACGATTAGTTTACAAAAATATAACATCACCTACCAATGGAGTTATTAGATATCTTATATGATGAAAATTTAAAATTTTTAACAATATGGACAAAATATCAGACCTGCCTGCAGATGCCCCCGTATATTTTTAATATTAAGCCCCGTTTTTAAATATATATTTGATCATTTTAAGACTTGTAGAATTTTCAAAAAATTTTGAATAATTTTGTAGATTGTTTTTAAAGGGGAATTGAAAATATGAATAATGGAGATAAAATGATTGGTATTTTTCATTTTTATCATAAAATTTTGAAACGTAAACAAAATACTGGTACGTTGCCAAATCCCTCCAAAATAAAATAAAGTGTAACTATCTACGTATACTATTTAATGAGCTATGATTAATTATATGAAGTATACCATTTTCGCAATTTTACCCCATACCCAGGGCAAAATGGCTATCAAGAGTAAAGTGGTCAAAATAAAATTGTACTTACCTTTATTGTTTTATTGACAAAATATTGCAATTTTGATATCTATTCATTACTTTAAATATAAACTAATTATTACAATACGGGAATGTAATTTCTTTAATAGTACATTTTGAGTGTGCCCGTTTAAGGTACAGTATATTTCAATTGTACTTCACCTTTGCGACTATTTTAAAAATTTTATTACAAATAACACACCTATTTATTAATGTTCCTTTTTGCTCAAAATATCTTTATAATATATTATTTATCCTTTTACAGCTTTAACCAGACGGAATATTTAACCGTTTTACCCATAACAACTTTACCCAAGTATTATATAAATCGTTATTGCATGACTTCTGGAGATATAAACTTCCGATAAATTTTATTTTATAGATATGACTTTAAGAAACATGTATACAAATTTTTAAATTATGAGCCTTAGCACACTAAAAAAAATAAAATAGAGGGTAATTTTTATTTTTGTGTAAAAAACGATTTCGGCATATGTCAAACCAGGAAAGTTTTTCAAGAGATAAAAAATTAGATATAAAGATACATCTTCGCATCAAATTTAAGGTCTTTATGCTCAAGGTAAAAACGTTATTTACGTTAACATTGTTACCCCTTTAATCGCTTTACTCCGGCCACCCCTATTAAACGTTCCATTATATGACTTTCCCCATCAATTGATATAATTTAAATCAGGATTCTGAACAGAACCCATATTTGGGCATGGGACACTTTTTCCTAAACCTGTACCCAAAAGTATTCAGGTTTCTTAATCCAGACCGAACCCAATTTTTTTCTAAATCCAGGTCCAGATCAGGTTTAGGAATTATAATCATTTTATAATTGATTTCCAACAAAAATAAAAAAATATTGAGTTACGTCCAAATTTTGGTTTTGTTTTTACTCTAACGCATTAAGATACAACTGTCCTAACTTGATAATCGTTTTTCAATTTTTTTTACCAAATACTTTTAGAATAATAAAAATAGTTATTGAAAGCTTTTTTTACGATAAACTTACATTCCTCATTTATTCTATTCGATCAATTGTTTGGAGAATTTATTAGTAATTTCTAGGGATGCACCGATATTTTTTATCGGATCGGGCCGATATTTCACCCATTTTAACGGTTATCGGCCAATATTAAGAAAATTTCCGATCCGATATAAAATGACCTTTTTAACAAAAATAAAATGTAAAATTTATAAAAATGTTAATCTAAAATCATTTATTTTTATAAATAAGATCGAAATCCATTTTTATGTATATTTTTTTAATAATAATAATTAATTAATAAACATTCTGCCATTCTTATTTTTTTGGGCATTCTGTTTATAAATGTGTGCGATAATCTCTTCAGAATCAGTTTTTAGTGAAGCTAGTGATATTGACAGTTACCATCGCCGCAGGCTGACCTCTGATAAATTGGAAATTTTGGTATTTCTAAAAAAAAATCTTCGATATATTAATATTAAATATTTATTTCAAATTTCATATAAATTTGTTTATTACTTATTATGTATATAGATTAATGTATTACTTGTTATATAAAAGTGATTTAACAATAAAAATATTTTATATACTTTTAGAATTACAATTGAATTGAATATAAACTATACTGATCATTATAATATATTTAAATGACATAAGTTATGGTATAATTAAATTATATATGTTATACTAATAAAAAGTATATTAAAAATTAAAACCATTGATATCTTTACAGAATATAAAATTAGATATGATATCGGATCTGTAATCGGCCGATACCAATTTAATATTGGAAATATCGGATCGGCCTCCAAAAAGTGGTATTGGTACACCCCTAATTTCTATTTATACCGGACCTACAAACTTGGCTTGAGTTATCTGCTGAAACTAAACTTAACCCCGCTTTAAAAAATTCTAGTCTGAACCAGTATTAAGCACAATTTTTAAAAAAAATAGAACCTGGACCCATACCGAACAAAGCAAAAATTTTATCGGGTCCAGAACCACGATTTATATTAATTCCTAAAAAATGGCCTAGCCTGAATATTTTATTTTTCTGTCAGTTCGGGGTTTGCAAAATATACTTGAAAATTCATTATAAATTAATATTTTGTAATTAGCTAATGTATGTGTTTCACTGACTTTTATAGTAGGGCAAATTAGACAGCCAGCTTTTTTATTGATATATTTTTAGATTCTAGTAGGTTTCTCCTTCTTTATTTGTATATCTGCATATACAGGGTTTCCTAATCAAAAAAGGAAAAGTGTCAAATAAAAAAGAAAAAGTCCCAAAGGTTTAGGAAAAAGTCCGATCAAAAAAGGAAAAGGTTCAATTAAAAAAGGAAAAGTGTCAAACAAAAAAGTAAAATTGTAATTTTTAATCACTTTTCTTTTTTGAAGTAGGGCAAATTGGACAGCCAGCTTTTTTATTGATATATTTTTAGATTCTAGTAGGTTTCTTCTTCTTTATTTGTATATCTGCATATACAGGGTTTCCTAATCAAAAAAGGAAAAGTGTCAAATAAAAAAGAAAAAGTCCCAAAGGTTTAGGAAAAAGTCCGATCAAAAAAGGAAAAGGTTCAATTAAAAAAGGAAAAGGTTCAATTAAAAAAGGAAAAGTGTCAAACAAAAAAGTAAAATTGTAATTTTTAATCACTTTTCTTTTTTGAATGGAAAACCCTGTATATTCAAATAATGGTATTGGAAGAAAAGAGGAAAATTGATAATTACATTTTCAAGCAGTTAATTGGGTTGGAACTGGATTTTTACGAATATTATTTAAGTCTTTCTTCTCAAAGCAGTTGGTTGGAAAAGAATTTAATTTTATCTTTTATTGATTTTTTCAGTGCGTGTAGAGAATTGTAAAAACTTTTGGAGTTTGACTCCTTGGGAAGGAGACTTCAGGTGATGTAGTTCCATTTGTGTATAGCAATTAAGAGCCATTGATTATAAAATGCTATGCCATTATATACCAATACCAATATCAATTTGAATTATATTTTATTAATTTTAATATTCAAATTTAAAAAATAATAATTTAATATATAAATATATTATTTTTAGCGAGTTTGGCGATGCTCATCTCAATCAGCGGCTTCTCCCAAGTGGAAAAAATTTTGTGCAAACGTCTAGAGATGTCTTCTATTTTAACAAATAAAAAGGTATCTCTTAAGTTGAAAAAAAGGTTCATATAAACGATGTGAAAAGCTGTACAAAACTTAAGCAGCATATGAAGTTAAATTGGAAATAATGGGGATGTGAATGTTGACAGAGAAAAAATTGAGAGGTTTAAATACGTTAAACGAAAGATGATTGGATTGGATGAAGAGATATACTCCATTGGAAATAATAGGATCAAGGTCACGAGGAGCAGCAACAGAAATAAGTAAAAATAGTCAAGATCAACCATCCCATCCAATAAGCTCAAAGACTAGACCAACTTTTAGAAAACGGGATTTTTGTACAAACTGTTAAAAAATAATAAATGTGAAATATTTTAATTTAAGATTCAATTTTTGTAATTACTAATATTTTTATTTATAAAATTAAGTTTAAATAGGATAATTAAAAAATAAATGCCTTATTATTTCCTTAATAATGACCAAACCTCTAACTTCATAAAGTGGCCAATTAATGGTAGTAGGACTAGAGAAAAAATAAGACAAAGGCACATATATAAAGCAAAAAGTAAAACAAAAGAATAGTGCACTTTTTAAAAAACGAATAAAATTAAGTTAAGTTTTTTTTGTCCCCAAGTCTTTATGGGGGCATTGCAATATTAAAAAAAATTGGTTGCCTTTATTTTAAATTTTCAGCTCAGTCTTTTTATTTCAGCAAGGTCTTTGACCTTCACTAGGGGTAATTTCATACCAAATCGATAACTTTTCAGCCTGACCTTTTTAATTTCGATAAAATTTTGTATACTAAAAGAATATCATTAGAAAGCATCGAATCCAAAATTTAAGCCTCCTAATACTCATAGTTCCTGAGATATCAATGGTCAAAAGTGCCCAAAATAATCTTTTTTCGAAAAATACGATTTTTTAAAATTGAGATAAGTTAAAAAAATAATGATTTAAAAATATAAGTTATATGTCATTTTGTTTACTGAATATTAAGGATTTTTTTAAAATAATATTTTTGCGGTTTTTATTTACGTTAGAAATTTTAAACATGAAAACTCCAGGTGTTTAGTTTTCCAAATTTTTTGAATTTAATATTTTCTTATTCTCTAACCTTATATCTATTCATAAAAAATTTAAACTTGGGACAGCCATGAATTTTTTAGTTATTTCGATTTAAAAAATAAATATTTTTTTAAAAAATAGATGGCGCTCCTATATAAAATAATGCGTTTTGCTAATATTATTTTTTTTAAACATTAATAACAAGATTTTCTAGCATTAATATCACGAAATGAGATTATTTAGCTGCGGTTATAATCATTTTTTTATTGTAAAAAAATTTTAATTTTCATATTATTTAATAAATTTTGTAAATATAATAGACAAATTAAAATTCATAAAGGATATTACCTACTTTCGGTTTTTCATTATTTAGACGCCATGAAAATTTCGTTTTGCGGATATATTATATGTACGTCCAGTAGCCGTTGATGGGCTAACTATTGTTAAAATATTTTTTTTGGTATGAAAAGGATATCTTGTGCCGCAAAAGAATTTGCTGGTCCTTTAGGGTGAATAAAATTAATTTTTACTTCATCTCTAATTACACTTCTTGTACAAATCCTAACTACCAATCGTTTTCATATTCACATGTTACATATCCTATAATCTCAAACGGATCCTCACGTGGATATACTATATCTCCACAATAAATGTCTGCGAATTAGAATATAGTTTAGTGTTGAGTTTAGTTAAACCAATCGGAAACACTGCAATTTTTTGTGTCCCAGGTATTGAGAAAGATTTACTAAATCTCTCACTTAGCCTTATCTCTTCTTCCTCATACTCTGGTATGATGGCATAAAAAAAATTCATACCTTTTATATGCTCTTCCGCATATTTATAAAATCGTAAAGATGTAATTATTTGATCAGTATAAGGTTTTTATAAGCTTGCCATGGCAACTAATCTTTTTACTGTGCCGCCTACCGTAGCAGGCACTTTTACCATGTGCCGTAGGAAAAAAATGTCATTCTGCTTGAACATCAAAATCGATTTATTGGTAGAACATTGATGAAGTTTTTCTTATTTTTTTATTGCGCTGCTGAACCATCAGAAAAGTAGTAATTTTTCTGGTGGAGTGTCGAATTTATTTTTTAAAAAATGAATCAAATACGATTGGAATAAATGGACAGTATTATTAATTAAGGATTCTGATATTACCACAAAAGTTAGGTTGTTTATTTGATCTCCTATTTCATAATAAATTGAAAATGGATGCAACGTAACTTGCGAAGTTATCCAATGATAACCCTGAACTTCGTCTTGGACAATAAAGGAATAATTTTATAAAAAGTCACAAATAATTAAGAGTGTATTTTCTAAACTATTTTTAAGGTTATTGTGAAATGAACTTTGTTGTTTACAAATAAATGGATGGCGTATGAGGATATTCATTTTATGGAAAAAATAATGAATAAATTCGTCTGCCGATTGAGAAATAGTCTCTAGAGTTGTTCTATCTACCAAAACCCACTGTTTAAACGTAACAAGAGTTATATCATTTTTTATAAATAATTTTTCGGTGCGTTCTTTTAAAAGTGCCGAGCCATGACACTCGTTGCAGTCACCAAAATAAAAGGTAACGGGGGATTGCAAATCATTCTGCCTATAACATCTCTATATGTATCTTCACCATTTTTAGTCAATGTTTCTAATTCACAGCCTAAAATCATAAATTAAATATTCTGGTGTATGCCACAAACGCATACACCATGTGTTCCACTAGCCCCTGCTAATAATTTCGAAAATCCAATTGTTATGTTTGAATTACTAGCCTTAAAATGATTATATAATTCTTAATTTATTAAGAACTAACCTTTTTTGCTCGTTCCCCCTTTTTAATGATAGATATGCAATCTTTTTTTTTCTGGTAATACCCTACTAACTTCATCACTGCAAAAAAAAATTTAAAACAATATCAACTGTTTTTTGATTGAGATATTTTGCAAGATTTCGATTTGGAGTTGAAAGAATCCCCTTTTCTTCTAAAATGATTTTGGAATTATATGCCATATGATATGCAGTGTTGAATGTCGTTTAATTTTATTTGCGCTCCAATTAGGAGGCAAAATGGTCAGCAATTGATATTTTTTATTTTTAGATAAATTAGGATATTGTAATTTCATATTATTGAGTATACCATTATTGTCTTTTGTATCCGATTCTAGATTGTTAATTTTTATATCTGAAATAGCTTTTGATATTTTCGCTACCTTTTTTGGATAATTTTTTTTGGTTTGTTTTTTATTCTTAATAGGAGATATTCCAATTTTGTTTAAAGTTATATTGATTGTATCTATTGATGTGGATGCTTTTTTAAATATTATCTACATATTCGCTATCAGAATTTATATTTTCAATATTTTTTTGTGATAATCGTTTACGACATTTATCGGTTAATGATGCTTACTACCTTAAGGTACTACCTATCAAATTTGTATTTTGTTTATTTTTCATTTGGATAGGCACTACCAAATATATTTATAATATATATTTGAAAAATCATGATTTTTGAAAAACCTCTGTGGCCTAGTCGGCAAGAGCTTCGCTTACTTATCCCATAATCATGGGTTCGAATCCCGGGAATGGTCATGTTTTTTTTCTTAATCTAACTTGGTGGTTCCATCCTTGCGGGGATGATATATTGGAGGCCGGACTCGACCACGTGATTCCGTTATAATATTAAATAATAAGGATCTCTATATTTTAATAAATTTTGGTCGGTATTTAGCAAAGCATCATTAACCACATTTATCACAATATACTGTTCCGCCTCAATGTTTGGAAATTGTGTCATCCACGTCATGACTTTGTGCAAGTTTTTTTCATAATTACAGTGTTTAGATTCTTTAAAAGGATTTTTATACATTATAAATAATTTTAACAAAAAAATTAATATCTAAATTTTTGTAAAATAAAAATTAATTAATATAGGGCAAGTGCATGAAAACTTGCTTTTATCTTTCAACAATTTCTAGTATATATCAGATCAGAATCTAATTTATCTTTTTAAGAAAATAATCATTTATTATAAAAACAACTAATTTTTTACAGGTTATCAATATAGTAATAATAAGTACTAAGAAAATAATCAATTATTATAAAAACAATTAATTTTTACAAGTTATTAATATAGTAGTAATAATAAGTAAGCCTATCAAACTATCTATATAATATTATTTCATGATATGAATGCTGGAAAATCTTATTATTTATGTTTAAAAATGAAAAAAAGTTAAAAAAATAAAAATCTTAACAAAACGCGTTATTTTATAAAGGAGCGCCATCTATTTTTTAAAAAGATATTTATTTTTTGTTTTTTATATCGTAGTAACTAAAAAACTTATGGCTGCTCCAAGTTTAAATTTTTTATGAATAGATATAATGTTAGAGAATAAGAAAATATTAAATTCAAAAATATTTGGAAAACGAAACACTTGGAGTTTTCATGTTTAAAATTTATAACGTAAATAAAAACCGCAACAATATTATTTTTTCTTTAATAGAGTTACAAAATGACATATAACTTATATTTTTAAAATCCTTATTTTTTAACTTATCTTAATTTTAAAAAATCGTATTTTTCGAAAAACATCATTTTTGGCACTTTTGACTATTGATATCTCAGGAACTATGAGTACTAGGAGGCTAAAATTTTGAATTCGATGCTTTATAATGACTCTCAAAATGCAAAATTTTATCGAAATTAAAAAGGTTGGGCCAAAAAGTTATCAATTTGGTATAATATTACTCCTAGATGAAAGTGACAATAGATGACAAGAGAATAATGGATTTTATAAATAATGATGCCAACTATAAAAAGCGGGGAGAAGGGATTAGGGAAAAAATTCGCCTTACTAAACATAAAATACCACCATTAAATGATAAGATCTTCCCATTCCAATTAAAAAATAAAAATAGGCCTGGTCTTTCCAAATTAGGATTGGTGATTAAGAGAGGTCTCTAATTAAGATTAGAATGTAATTTATATTTTCTTGCTTTTCATTTTTTAATGGGGAAAAATCATTATTATATCAAGCAATTAATAATTTAACCTAAAAAATGCTTTATAATTAAGAAAATAGTAAAGGCAAAAGTTTTATGCTATTTAATTTTCATTAACATAAAAATTTAATTGAACTCTCAATCTTTACTATAGTAATAAATTATTACAGATGTCTCATTGTTGTAAATTTATATTGAACAATAAATTCCAAATGTTAAAAAAAATATTTAATAATCAAATTTATAAATTAGTACATAATATGGATCACGGACGTTTTTATTTGGAAATTTATAGTCCCATTTTCCTAGCAATTCAATTTTTGCCTTTGATTTTAAAGGGCGTAATGCTTTTACATTTCTTTATAAATTTAAAACAACATTTTATTTATTTGTACTCAATGTTGGACTGATCCATGCATAATATATAATCAAAATTGTAAAAATCTTCTTGTACAAGCTCATATTATAATATATTTTTTAATATTATATCTATATACTACCTGTCTAGCTTTATGGCTAAAATTTATATCATGATTTTTTAATATAGCCATAGCTCGATGATCAGGAGATTTACCTAAATGATAATCGCCTGTACCTGCACTATCTACTTTCCACTAAAAAAAATTTATAATTCATTTAAATGAGAAATATTCACATTTGTAATATAACTTTCTTCTAAAATTTTTCTTAGACAAGCTTCTGCAATAGGCGATCTACAAATGTTGCCTAAATACGTCATTAATGCAATTATTTTAAATTATTTTTTAAATACCCAAACATACCATAAGCACAGATTTTGGTTCAGTCATGAAAATATAATAGAGAAAAGTAGATAAATTTAATAAGGATTGACATCCAATCAATCAACACAAAAACTTAAGTTGTATATTAACGAGGAAGGTGAGTGGGCATATTTTTTAAACAAATAAATGTTTCTTCCAATATTTTCACCTCCCACACCCCTGAAACAAATTATCTTTAAAAAAGTTGTGAGCCTAAATTTATTTAAATAAATATAATCTGGCCATGAAGCGAGGCTAAAGTCATTTTTAGGGGTAGAGGGGGAGAGTTAATAATTGATAATATTTAAGTGAAATTTGTTTAAGTTAGCACATGATATTTAAAATATAGTTGGTCTGAATTGGTGTGTAGGCAAGATTTTACTAGTGAGTCACTATTAGATTGAATAACTTAAACTTTATTGAAGTTCTTTAGATCCACTTACTTTGGGCCATTGGCTATGTAACTTTTGTCTAAATAATTTTCTTTCCCACTTTTTTGACAAAAATACCTTTTTGATAACAATAAAAATCAGAGTCCATAGTTTGTTTATATAATGACCAATGCTATAGATCATTACCCTGTTTTTAAATTGTTTATATATAATGACCAATGCTAGAGATCATTACCCTGTTTTTAAAACTTAGAATTACATAACACATTTAAAATACTTTTCTCTTCTATTTATTTAAAAAAAAATAAGCAACGTTAACTTTGCTTTCTCATAATTTCCCAATAGAGTAAATAGTAATTTTTTAACATAAAAAAATTAGTATTAATTATATATTTGATAAATTTTTAAGAAAAATTATGGTTCCCTTGTTTCTGTATACGCTACTCTAATGCATATAAACTTATAATTTAATACTTTGAAATAGGCATTATCGGCTAATATAAAGCCGATTAATGACGAATCCCAATGAAAGGCTAGCTAAGTCGGATGATTTAAAAAAATTCTGATCGCAAAAAAGATCCCAGCAATCCTCGCAAAATATTTTGAGGAGAGATTGATTGATATTAATCTCGGATTTAGGATTTTTTAAACATTTTTTCTAATATTTTGGCGCTAGCTTCGAAAGCTGGAACGTTAAAATATCTATAAAATAAATAATTTTTTAAAATATTATATTAAATAATAAAATAATAAACCACTTATTATAAAAAGTTTTACAAACTTAAAAATAAACATAACTTTTTGTGGAAACAAGTAATAATACTGATTTTTTAAATTAATATAAAACCTGCTTTCTTTGACATCTGAATTTAAATGATAAAAATAATTTTTTTTATAAAATTTTATTTGAGTATTTATATTTATTTCTTCACTATAAATTCTAGGAAACTTTAATATAGGCGCTCTTCAAAAAGCGGCTAAATCAAGAGATTTCGTATTTTAAATGGCAGAAAGGTTTGAATTAGGCTTAGTTAATATTTTTGGCTAAAATCTTGATTTAGCAGTTTTCTTAGAAATCGCTTATATTGAAGTTTTCAAAAATACTATTCAAGCTTAACTAATTCACAAAGCTTTATTTACCTCTAATCAGACGCGTAGTCAGAAATCTTTAAGGGGGAGGAGGGGTTTATTTTTTTTATTGAAATGATTGTATGTTGAAGCATTAAAAATTTATTAAAAAACTAATCATCATATAAAACTTATTAGAACTAATTATATTTGAAAATTTGATAATTTGAAAACAAATAATAAAATATTGTAAAATACAAAATATTTAAGAGTGAAAATAATACTATTAAAAGATATTATAGCTATATAAACCGGTATTTAAATCATAATAAAATATAAAATTAAACATTTTATAATGATTTAAAAGGTTAATTAAAATATCGTTCATAAATTAAAATTTAATCTTCTTTATGATTGCGCCAAATTTTTAATAATTTGTTCTGTGATTAGAATTAGATTTCGATGTATATTAAGTAAAACTAGTCCAATCAATCGATTTTAATATGTCATACCTTTGAGAGGTTTTTATTCTCTGTAATAGAGTAAAGGTCCCCTCATTTGTATTTGTACTAATTGTTACCATTGCCAAAATATTCAATAATTTAAATATATTTGGAAAAATTCATAAAATATATTTTAAATGATTGGGAGGGGTAATTGCGGAAATTTTTTTGCATATTCTGATTATCATTTTCCGTTGTTTGATGTTGATTAACTTTATCTTCTCTTCAGTTAGGACTGCTCCTAATTTTAAAGTCAAAAAGCAATATAAGTATATTAAAAAAAATATTAATTGAAGCATACAACACAATTAATTACTAGACCAAGACTAAAAATCTGAACCCTTCGAACTCAAGATTTTACTGACTCTTTTTTAAATCTAGATTTTAGGGTTCAAGAATTTTTTTTTATTTTCAGCATTAAAAACATTTTTTTATGTAAATCTTCTCTGAGGAATCATTTTTATTATATTTTATGTAAAAATTTTACAGCCACTTTTGTATATTTTTTTATCATAGATAAATATAATAACTTTTATTTAAAAAAATCTATTGTTTGTTGGATTTTTTTTTAATCCCAAAAATAAAGAAGAAATAAAGCATAAAACGGAGAAGAGGAAGAGTAAGTTTAGTTGAAAAAGAATAAAGTTTACCGTAGGAAGTTATGGTAGTGGAAATGATTGGAATAAAAAAGACCAATGAAAAGAACATAATCACAAGGTAAAATAGATTTATTAAATGCAAGCTGTAGCACTGTCAAAGTTAGATCATAAAAATCTATATTTTAATTTAACATCTAGATTTTGAAAGGATATCATGATAATTCTCGCTTAAATATTATTTAAAAAAATAAATGGAATATTATTTTTTAAATTGTTTTGCATTGTATTATTTTAATTGCAATTGTGATGATAAATTATTTTTACGGTAAATGTGAAATCAGATAAATAACTATTTTTTATATGATAAACTTCCTAAAAACTGATGTTTGGTTATTTTTACTAAATATTATAAGTCTTATCTTTTGCATCTTTTATTTTAGAACGAGGGCTCACAGCCCTGTTTGTTACTTATTGTTCGTTGCATTCTCATCATTTTTAAAATGGGGAATAAGCAGGTCGGAATACAAATTAAGGCTATAAATTAATATAACAAATTCTATTTCTTATAACAAAATATAAACAATTGGTATGACAAAATTAGGTAATATTTATGATTATTTATGTGATATTAAGCATAAGTTATCTAATATTAGGGATGATTTATCTGATATTTTATATATTTAAAATTTCAATTCACTTCTAAGCAGGTACCAGGAGCGAACAAAGCCTTATACCAGAATCAACATAATTTTCTAAACCGTAACCGAACCTTGGTACCAAATCGTTAAAAAAATCACCAAGCCTATATAATTTTTCGGAAGCCTTTTTTATATATATAAATTGTAATTTGGGACAATAATATATATCTGCTTTGTCTGAGGAGTTTTACTATATTTATAAAAATAATATTTCACTTTTTAATTTTAAACAGTGAACCATAACCGTCAGGAATCTTGATAATTTTCAGCCTTTGAACCGTAACAGGGAACCTTTATAGATAACGGTTCATACCCCTGCTTCTAAGTGTATAAAAATAGCAAAAACGAAAAATCTATACATTGTTTTGAAGGGCTTAAAAATTATATAGAGGCCTGGTTTAATATTCTCTCACATAGTGAAACCTCCTGTAGTAATTATAAAACCCTTTATATGAGTTTCAATAATTCAAATGGATTGAACAACTGTTCAAAATTTAAGATATGTACACCCTATTAGAAAACTGTGAATTATTAATAAATCTAACCTTTGTACATGATGTTCTTAATTATTTAATTTATCTTTATACAATTAAGCGATTGTTTCGTGTTTTACAATCGCTTAATAATATTTCTCCGATAGGTTCTAAATTTATTTTATGATTCAGGGATGCTCTGTTTAATTAATTAACGAATGCCTTAATTGACAATAAAAAAACCAGTTAACCTTGCCTTGAGTGGCAATGTAGGAAAAATATAACCCAATTGATTAGGTAGGGCATAGATCAGTAATCACCTGAGGCTCGAAAAAACATGCTTTCTTTTAAATTTATATATATATTTATTGTAAATGATAAATTTTTAAAATATAGCCTTGCCTTTTAATGGTATATCAGAACAGGGATTAGGCAGGTATAATTAATCTATGATTAAAAACACACTTTGATTATATATAGATCAAAAAATATTTTCTTATCTTACAAGTAGAAAAGTTTTAATATAGATTTATTTTAATCTATTAAATATTTAATTCTTAAATTAAATAAAACGAGGGGCTAAGAATTTCCATGGGATGGGGGCAACTGTTGATTTGGGAGGGTCTATATTTTTTGAAATAAAACAAATAGTTAGGCATTAGGACAAGGTTTTTGATTTATAAATTTTAACATAAATGAATTAGAAGATAAATTTAGGGTTATTTTTTTTTCATATGCCATCGAAACTTGTTAATCGAGATTGACTTTTTAAATTTGTTTAACTTAAATTGTTTTTATTTTAAACATGTTAGCCTTTAACTATGTATTTCGTTTAAATTGTTTTTATTTTAAACATGTTAGCCTTTAACTATGTATTTCGTTTAAATTGTTTTTTTTATAATACATATATATATACCTTATTTTATATTTATTTTTAGTATCATTTTTAGTTTTAGAATAAATTTATTATAAATAAAAATCACCACCGTTATTTCTATCACCACCGTTATCTCTATATAACATGGTGCCCCGCTTTGTATGGTAACTCACGCACAATGATATATAAAAAAATCTCATATATATTGTGTATATGCATAAATATAAAAAATAAAAAATTTACTTTTGGAATTATGTAATAAATTATAAAAATTATTCGATATAAAGGACACACACAAATTAAAAAAAATTTTTTATATGACTTTAGAACGACAATATATATCTTTACGCTAATGTAAATAAAGTTTTAAAATAAAAATTTTCAATTTGGATAAAACAAAAGTTACATAATTATATGACTTCATGACAATATATATCTTTATGCTAATTTAAATAAAGTTT